CTCAAACACTTCTGAACGCCTTCTGAGCGTCGTCACAGAAAACATACTACTATAACCCAGAATGCCAACCGCATGGTAAAAAGCATTAAGCGATTTGAGAGAGCTTTGCCTGTCAATTCGTAGGCAGCGCCACCAGCGTTGCTATGCACTCAGCGTAGCAACGCTGGTGGCGCTGCCTACGAATTGACAGACAAAGCTCTCTCAAATCGCTTAATGCTTTTTACCATGCGGTTGGCATTCTGGGTTATAGTAGTATGTTTTCTGTGGCGTCGTCGTGGGTATCTGTTGTTGGCTGTAATAGTTCGCTCAAATAATTCTGTCGAAATCACGTATCTCCTCGTACAGCTTGTAGCAGATTTCATTGTTTCAGGGAAGTTTTGCATTTGCTATTGGATTTTTATACACATGTAGTGGTTATTTTTAACTTTTTTGATTGATGATTAAATTAGATTCAGTATTTTTAAATTGACTGATGAGTGATTCAGCAGAGATTGAGTATAATAACAACTTGGGGACAGTAGAAAACACCATTGCTTTGATCCAGTCATGAAAAAACATCCCTTATCCAAGTGAAAAACTGTTTAAGAATAAGGCTCCGGGCACGATACGAACGGCGCCGTTCGACATCGGGTCTCATTTAGTTGTGTATATATTTGTTGAGGGTGGTCACGATACGTCTGAGTGGCAAGCAGCACTGCTCATGGTTTCAAGTCAAAACCGATTTTCGCGAAAACGCCGCTCAAGTGAGTCAAAGTCATGCTTCAGTTCAGCCTAAAATTACAGGGAAACAGCAGCAAACATGCAATACAGGTCGATACGTAAGGTGCAGTCCAGGGAATGTTTGTGGAATGACCAGCACAGAAGTTTTAAAACACTTCAGTCCCCAGAAAAGTATGGACCAAGTCAGGGTTAAGGTTTTTCTAAAAAATAAGTTTTTCTTTAAGCCGCAAACAATTGTGAGATAGCACCAATAGTTGCAATACGTCTTGCAGGCAAGCATAGCTTACCATTTTCGAGTAAACTGACTCATAAAACTGGGGAAATTTGATGAGCGTTATAAATGTGCCGCTTATATTGTAGCCTCCACCATTTATGTGCCGCTCGCCGCTCTTATTGTACCCGAGGCCTAAGTACTAACTGAGTGATAATGTCTCATCAATTGCTTCCAATGTGGGTTGCACTGTTGATGAAGTAAAGAAGAAATTAGAGAGTGTTCTTGATGTGTTGAAATATAGAAGGGAGAAGAAGAGTGCAACAAAGTCTTGAATGGGAACAAGGAACAAGTGAGAAAAAAAGCTTTTATGGTGAATTAAGTATTTTAAGTTTTTGGGTGAAAAATTTATTACCTATTTGACCGATGATGACCAATTCTACCAATAAATAACGACAACGCTGTGTATATGCACTACACAAGATAACTATTCAAAATGTTCAGATCTCTAAAGCGAACATTGATTTGATCGTCCGTGAGATATTGAGCATGATCGTTGAACATGTCTGATGAACTAATTGTGGAATGTTTGTCCGTTATTTATGTTCGCAAATAATGTTTGGCAACATGTTCGGTTGGTGTAGATGCGGCTTGAGTTTACAAGAGAGCAAAAAGTGCAGCTGAATTTTATTTCATAGTTCATAGGGAGTAAAAATCTACTCAAGACCTGCAATGCATGTGTTAAAAAAGTTGTTTTCGGCATTATGACAAAAAAATTTAAAATGTTCAAACTATGCTAACAATGCAACATGGCTATGTTTTAAACAAGTTGTTTAGAGAATACATACAATGACTATTGAATATTGAAATCAGCATAATACTTACACATTGTAACTAACATTTTATGTAGGCCTAACAAGTATATTAAGGAAAACAGTACTAACCTTTTACAACAATTTGTAGACTAAATTTAGTTATAAACTTAACTTATAATGACCAAATGCGCCTAGTAAAAAATACTTGTTACAAAAAGTGTGAAGTACAAGCTTTGACATACAATAGTCAATGCTATCAGTTTCTTACAATTATTATTCATGGAAATGTTGTAAAATATCTTGTTATATTCTAAACTATAGTCTACTCAAGAACATAGTAAAACCCTCAATAATTACTAAATGAATTTGCTATGAGATTATTTAAATTTGACTTTAACCACAATCTTAAGTAGTAATGAGCAACGAGTTTTTGTATCCTCAGGTACATTAACACGTCCACTACCGCAATAGTACTAAAATTTTCATTCATATGGACCAGTGACACACATATGCAACGACTGGTCACACTAGATTGATGTCGCATATTTGCATCGGTGTTCCAATGTTGTTCAAAATCTTATATCTTTGTAAAGGTCTATTTGAGGGCCCTGAATTCTATACAGTGGTATAGGGATGTCTGTCGCATACGTGCGACACTTGGTCTGTGGATATGATGATTAGTTATATCATATGATAGTTAGCAAAACTGTTTGTTACTTTGCTGTTCCACTGGCCCGTGGTCTGCGTGTACTATAAACCAAGTGACACCCGGTCTAAGTGAAATATTAAAAATTAAAATGGTACCTCAGTCTGTGGCAATGACCGCAGCATCGCATATATGTGGTGACTGGAAGTGAACGTGTTAAAAAAGGCAATTTTTAAAAAGGCACACATGACTTTTAATACTAAATCACTAATCTTAACACTTTAAACAACAATACCCTGTGAAAAAAATTAAAATATATATACTGTCCTCTAGGTCAGCTGATGTAAATAAGCTAGGCAGTATGATGTATAAATTTCACAAAATATCATACTAGATCTCCAATTATTGAGACAATTGTTATCCGACCTCATAAAAATACTCAAAAAATTAGATGAATGGAATTTCAAGAATAAAATAAAAAATAAAAACAGTTGCTCATGTAGATGACTCATTGATACGACACTACAGTAGACTCACCGAATGATGGACACATTAGTGCAAACTGCAATGGACATAGTTTTTTGGCTGATTTTATTTATTTTGTCTCTTTGAGATTTTCAGGACAGTTGATAGGATGATTGGAGTTTGTTTTAGTTGTACTGTATGTTAATGGATATTCATTATGCAATGCTGTTAGGACTAAACAGAAAGTGTATTACAATTGTCTATAACATTTATTGAGGACTAGATCTCTTGTATGGATACCTTTGATTAAACTTTAATTACGGTTCGATATATACAAAAGTTATTGCTGTATGTGTTTCTTCATTGTGCTATAATGAGGTAATCTACTATTTCAATTAATCCATTCATAATTTAACTTTTGGCGGTTTAAACTCTATTTATTTTTGACAAACGTTCTGTCACTAGCTGGTCGAACAAGATAAATTCAATTTACTTTTATAAAATGCATTTCTATAAATTTTTTAACCCAAAACAAAACTCAGGAGATCTACAGAAATGTATAAGTAGTAGTTTGTTTACTTAATATATGATGAACAAACAATTGTCCCCATGAATAGAACTGCATTGGCAAGTGTAAAAGTAGGATGCTATGAGGATTGAAATTCTAAACAATTTAAGATAACTTTCATAGAAATAAACACACAAAAGTATGAAATACTTCTGCTATTGCAAATATGTAGCGAGCGAAGAAGGTTGAACTATAAACACAGAAATCAACATTGATCTAAATGGAAGTTTTCCATTTAAATGACTAAGATGGTGAGTGTTAGGAGATCAATATAAACTACTTAAATTGATATACAACACAGTTTACAGTTCTGCGATATGGTTCGCAATAGGGTCTAGAATTGTGTTGCGGTAAAGAGCACTGTAAGTTATACAGTAGTGTAGTGTAGCAAAAGTGAAAAGAAGTTACAGTGAAAAGAAAAAAAATGTAACCAATTGATCTTTTATTTTATTAGTTTTTATAGGGATGGTTTTTTATGGATCTCCAATAGGTATTATTACCAAATAATTTGGGAATAAAACCAATGTGACTTTTATGCATTTTTTACCCATTATTGTCTTGACAGAACAAATTAAAACATATTGCTTTTGTAATTTAATTAATTGTTAATTTAATTAGTTGTTGTTGTTATTGGTAGTGGAGGATAGAATGGAGTCAAAGACCTTTGAGAGGTTGAAATAACATCAAACAAAACCCTGTTTTTATCATCCCAATGAGTCATGGTTTTTACATAGGTAGGTACCTATTTAAAAGGAATTAAACAAAAAATTATAAAAGAAGCAGTCTGGACTTAATTTGGTAGCTCAAAGAATAGGCATGGTCTATCTGATAATAACGTTGTCGATAAAAAAGAGATGAGAGGTTCAAAAAGGGACGTTCAATTAAGTTTTACTGTACTACCTTCAAAGACGACAACAATAGTGGTTTTATATGCGTTTCCTGACGTACTAATAGAATTTGTACATATAAACTAGACATAGTTCATATAAGGCACAAACAATATGTACCTCAAGATGTAGGTCATTCACAACCATAAAAAGCCTATACTACATAAAATGAGCCAATACTTTAACAGCAGTTACTGTTTATGACTGTCCTATTGTCAATACTGCTAACATTGCCAGTAAATGGCGGACAATAAAAAGAAATGGCTGTTTCCTTTCGAGTAGGGGTGTGCGAATATTTGAAAGTTCAAATAGTTGAACGAATACTTTAGTATTCGAGCCCGACTCGATCTCAATGAGTATATTCGAACATTCAAATAGCAAACAAACCTAAAAATAATCTCTAATTTCAACCAAATAAATCATGGTATTGTGTTGTTTAATTACATCCCAACATTTCATGCTTCGTATTATAAAATAACACTAGCAACTTCAGCATATTATAACATCTTTCTTAACTCTAAAGACTACTCGACCATTTTCACGACGATAAATTTTTTGTGTCATTATTAAAATTACTCCGCTCAGCTGCATAGTTTACAATGCTCCAATACGATACTACAACCTACCGGCATGGAAACATAAGACTGTCAACCATTCTTATTTGATTAATTAACAATAACCTATATTGAGCAGACAGATATCTATCTGTATAACTTTGAAAAAGATTTGTTTAGCTTAGTTAATATTAGGATCTACTTTTTGTAATGTGAACTTAACGTTCAGTAGAATGACAAAATAAGTACGGTAGTCTGAAAGTGTTGTGTGAATAGCAATTAGCAAGCTACATTGCGCTACATATTCAATGAAATAAAATGAGAAAAATACTGGAAGGCCTGTACCATACTGATTTTGTACCAAGAACAAATAGTTAGGGAAAAATAGATTATTTTAAAATGTTACATTGGTTAAAATCAGGATTATTAAGTCGAGTTCTAAAGCTGTGATTGTACAACTTTTGGAGTCTATAATAATAACATAAATATTCGCTCGGTAATATCCGATATTCGAAAATATTATGAAGTATTCTATTTGATTTGATTTGAACCCAAAAATCACTATTCGCACACCTCTACTTTTGAGTAGACTATTTACCTCGTATATAATACCATGTTTGCTTCATAAAACACAGGTCTCTAAAACTTTACATATAACTAAAACAACTTTTAAACTAATACAAATAAAAATTGTAAACTGTAAAAACTTAACTTGTACTAGATCACATTCCGTTTTTCATCAGGTAACAAGATAGCGTCTTGTTTAACCGCAACTATCTTACTCATAAACAAAAAGTCTTACCACACACGATCAAGCATGAATTTATTGTCAGTCTTGCATTACTCGTGTGTTCAGCTCAATCTGTGGGAGTATGAGAGATGAGATGGACCTTCAAAGTTGCCATGTTGCTTGGTTTGAAGAGGCATTTGTGGCACTGTAGAGGGGCACGCAGTAACTCATTTAGTGAAGCATTAGAGGGTAGCAACACCCTACCATGTGTTTCCAAATCGTGGATAACACCTGTGAAATCAAATACAAAAACTTTAAACATTACTAAACAAAAAACAGGGAGGAATTGAAGTAACATAATAATAATAATGTCATGCAGCATAGCTGTAGTGCACAAACCCCACATTGAAATTGTAAACGATTAAACTGTTAATTCTCTATCATGATTCATTATGGGTCAGCATTCAGCAAAATCTCATTTTAACCTGAATAGCAAGAAGAGTGTAGAATAGAATGAGATGATCTGTTTGGATATTTTGCTGACTAAAACCAGCTATATTTTACCCAGAATTGATTGACATGTAAATTCTTCTCGGTATCAGACCTTTTTGATTGACACGTGAGCAATAAAACCACTCGGCTACAAAGCCATATCTGGTTCAAATAGCATAAATCTTACATACAGTGATGACACTTGACATAAAACAAATGGGAAAATATCTTAAGCATTAGTGTTTCAAATTGATAAAGGGATTACCCAATCATTGGTCTCATATCTTCTGTGTTATCGAACCTTCTTTTTGATCCATCAAGTACCATGAAATCACATGCTTTTTTCGTAAAGTATGACTGTACACCGAACTGAGTGTATCAAGACAACTTTTTTGTCATCCCTGTTTATACTCTGAATATGTACGGTATGACATTAGGCACCTACACAAGACTGTAATTTCTGATAGTAGAGCATTGACTATTGGAATCTGAAGTAGACATCACATTTATATCGACCAGCTGTCGCCAATTTTGTAGGAAAAAAGGACATACAGAGTAGTTGTGTCACAGAATGCAATAGTTTCTAGAATTCTGTCACTGTTGACATGATCTTTAACTGACTGATGTTGACATGATGCCAACTCCAGGACCGACTCAGACTGGATGTCGGCATCCAGTTCAGGTCATGTCAACCGTGTGTGCGACAGGCCTGTTAAATTAAGGTTTGTATTTTCGTTAAATGTAAAATGTTAGTCCGTGTTTGTGTTATGTGTTTCTCATGTAATGACGCTGCTTTAGCTGAATCTTCTGTCTGATGATGGCATTATAATGGCAAGTTACAACAGTTTGAGCTGTAGACAAAGGTGCTATAGACCTTTTTAATAATTTCACAGCTCAGGGGCTAAAAACATGGATTTTAACACTTCTTAGCCGATTGGGCTAGGATTACAAGCCTGATAAACTACAAAAGGATGTAAACTATCCCGCCGACTGTGCCAAGTGAGGCCTATACCTGGGAGTCCAGTTAGACTTCTGATGCAAGCGAGGAAACCCTTCTACCAAACTTGGGCATTTGGCGCAAGTGAGGGCCGCAAAGTAAGTGAACTGTTTGGGCTATGTCAGGCTCTTGGTTACATAGCATTGAGGAGGGTTAGGGTACCCGGTATTATTTCTCTAAAAGTACGTTCCACCTGGGTTCTGAATTCTAACTTTAGCAATGTGAAACATTGACTAATCACGGGACACAACTTGGTAAATAAAAGTTGTGTTTTAAGTTTACTTACAACTTTTAACAAAAATTAGCAATTTACAAGCCTATTAATGTTTTCAAAGAGTTTCAGTTGGGTTTTCCTAGAAGACACAAGCGGAGCTCCGAGAATGGAGTGCAAAAAATTGATTTTCTGCTCATCCAGTGGCGGTACACTCCGCTTCTAGGAAAATAGTAGGCCTACCATTATATTACCTAAAGCTGGGTTTTCCTAGGCATAGAGGAAAATTCAGCTTTACAAGGGATCTGATGCAACTATTAACACTGTTTACTAATAAACAGAATAAGCACATCACTTGTATCATGTTGGACCGCTTTCCCAAAAAGTGTTTAAGTAGCCTACTTCCTCTTCTAATTACTTTAACAGTGGTAATTACTACCACTGGCGTTTAAACGCCAAGAAAAAAAGGTGTGACCTTAAAGGGAAACCAATAATTAGAGTTCAATTAGTTCAGACTAAAGAGATAAACAGCTCACTCTCAAAACTAACCTAAATACAAGAATATAATAGCCTACAGCATCTTTGAAATCAACCACTAAAAAGTGTTCTAAATCCTTTAAGACTACTAAAGGTAAGGAATCATCGCTCGTTTCTTCAACGAATATTAAATATCCGTTCTAAATAGGAGTTCAATCACTGTATTTACATAAACTTACGTGATATGCTAACGAAGAATGATGTAGTATAAGAGTTCCAATGTTTTGCAGTTTTCAATCCGGACCCTCTAAAGTCATCACTGATGAGATGCAGATGAAGCTGCATCATTGTTGGTTTTGCGTGGAATCCCGCCCTGAAATTAACTTACAGATTTAGCCTAATTTAAATTTACCTACTTATTTAACACTAATAAAAAATGGAAAAAATTGGAGTTACTGGACTATTGCAAGAAATCAATAGATGTAACCCTAGATACCTGTACTTTGAAACAGACTAGGGTACAGTTTTAACAAACGTTACAATAGCATAAACAGATGACTCATAGGCCATGGCAACCATATAACTTAGCATTTATCAATAGTACAGGTATTTAAACACAAGCAGGGCCGTCCCTAGGGTTGGCGGCGCCTGGAGCAAACGTGGTTGTGGCGCCCCCTCCCCCACAGCAGTAATAGTCGCATTCGCATATTTTAATAGGTACTATGTTAATACAAATAGCCGCTGCGTGGCGCCCCCTCAGCCACAGCGCTCGGGGCAGCTTGCTCCCCCTTCGGACGGCCCTGAACACAAGTTGTAGGCCTGGATGTAAAGCATTTGGTTTTTTCAACTCTTTTGCAACTGGCTGATTACAAGTTTAGAGCATAATTTTCTTTCAAATGTTTTACCCGGGCGGAATGAATCTTAGCTAGTAAACTGATAGTTCGACACTCCTTGTAGTTTGACACGGACTGAGCTATTTTGTCAAGTAATATTTAATGTTTACTATTGTGATATAAGCTGACTTGAACATTAATTTGTCATTTATTGTTGACCTCAGACTAATGAACAGTGAAATTGTTAAGCTTTTTAGTAAGTATTTAATAAATTTGGGTGATTTCTATAAAGGCCTAAAACTTGTGTTTTTACTTTCCAATATATTAAACTCCATTTACTCCCTATAGTTCGACACCCCTTAAGTCCACAAAGTGTTGAACTATTGAGGTTCTACTGGTTTTTTTGACAAGTGTTATTCTAGGCTACTTAAGTTTTCTTTTTTCTGCCCATAAATTGAACTAGGGCCTATCCACAGCTAGGGCTAGGGCTGACCATTTATGTAAGAGTATGTAGTCCACAGAAAATATCACATTTATAATTTTTTACTATGATTATAGAAATAAATCTGGATCTTCGGCCCTAGGCCACCTATGTCTTCTTCACTGTATGCTAAGTCCAGTAAGTCAAGATAAGCTAAGTAGGCTACTTACTAGCTAGCTACTTATTCGACAAAGAATCACCTGGTATGTTCATAGGCTAGCAGGCTGTTTTTCATTCAGATCAAGCGGCATAAAACTTGTGTTACGAGTCATTGAGTACGAAACGAGTATTAAAGTCGAGTAGGCCTAGTAAAGAGCAACGGTTAGTTAACTGTGCCACGAAGTAGTTTAAATTTTCAAATACCGCTGGCCTACGATTAGAACTGATTTTTAAAGGTAGCCCACTCAGTTTGAAAATGGTAAGAGCTAGAGAGGCTTAACCGCCTCCAACCGAAAGAAAAGTACTTTAAGACGTACTCGTCAAGCTACTTTACCAACTCTCAAGCAATCTTTAGAGATTGCATAAACTCGCCTGGTACAGATGGAACAACAGGAGGGTAAATATTTACGACGCCCAACTCACCTAAAACACCCTATAAGACGTTGTTAAACTGTTCCTAGACACCAACACTAAAATTTTCTTAAATTACTTTTTTGTCACCAAGGCTCCCTGTAGACACAATACCTAGATTACTAGACACCAACATCACACCTGAAAAACTTGCTTAAACATCGTGACAGGGCAGTTTCTTTTACTAGAAACCTCACCAAGATTGCTAGACACCATTACCTAGATTACTAAAGACCATGCCCAGATTACTAGACACATGAAAAACTTGATTAAACATCGTGACAGGGCAGTTCCTATACTAGACACCTTGCGTAGCCTAACCTAACCATAATCTCGGCATGGTGTCTAGTAATCTCAAGGTAATAGTGTCAAGTAATCTAGGTAATGGTGTCTAGTAATCTAGGCCTAGGTGAGCTGAAGTTAGAGGTGTCTAAGTTAGTAATGTTGGCGAGGTCTATAGTACTGTAATCTGGGCATGGTGTCTAGTATTTTAGGTGAGGTATCTAGTATAGGAAACTGTCCTGTCACAATAGTTAAGCGAGTTTTTCGGGCGTGGTGTCTACAGGAAGCCTCGGCGCAAAATAGGCATTTGAGAAGGTTGTAGTATTGATGTCTAGGAAAAGTTTAAAAACGTCTTATAGGCTAGCCTATAACGTTTAAGGTGAGTTGGGCGTTGTAAATTAATAATAACCAAAATGAGCAAGGCCTGTCATGTTTGTAAAGGTCAAAATATGTTACTTACCAAAACACATGATTAAAGTTGGCACAGAAAGATCTTGAAACTTGATCCATATGTCTCAACAAAGGTAGGTGACTAGCATTTAGAGATCTTATTTCTGGAATCGTAGCTTGAGGAAGAACAAGGAAATGCTCTTCCGACTTGGGGTACTTATCTTTGATAATAACGACCAACTCGTCTTCATAGGCAATAAGGCTTGGATCCCTCATAGCCTTGTACAGGTTAAACTGCCAAAACTGTTTGCTACCGTTCATATTAGGGTATGTTTGTTATTATTAAAGTTTACACAATATTATAATTTTAAAATAGTATAGAAATTAGTAATCGTTAAAAACATTTCGTTAAATAGACATAGTATATTACTGTTACTGGGTCGTCTTGATCAACAGACTTAACCTCTAAATCTGAATATTATAGGTTAGCAACTCTGAATGATGTTAATACTGTAATTTTATATTATTCAGCTAATACCACGGAATCCAATCTACAAATGAATTAATAACTATAATTTTTAACTTGGAAAAAGAAAAACTTAATGTTAATGTTTTAAAATTTTAAAGTGTTCTTGTTTGTTGAAGTTTGAAATTCCATGTCCTCTTCTTCTTCTTCATCTCTCCTCTTCTCCATCCAATCTCCAATCAGTCCGGTTTTTTCTAGTAATCGTGGTCCAATCCCAGGATCCCAGCCCAACTCCATCAGATGATTTGGTTTGTTGATTTTGAACACACAGAAATCAGTTCATTACGACCATGTACGACATTATATTTGTCTCTATGGTATGACAGAAAGAATATAAAACTGGAATCAGATGACAGCTAAATTATGTGTATCTAAAATGTGCAAAAAGCTGATACAACCAACTGGATGGTGTCCATCTTGGCAGGGCCGTACCTAGATACTCCTTTGTACGTGGCGAACCAGCGCAAGTGCGCCCTCCGGGGGGTCTGGGGGGTTGGAATACCCCCCTGAAAAGTGGGGGGGCCCGGGAAAAAATTTGAAATTTGAACATCAGTAAAACACATTTTTAAGCAATTCTGGCTCTTAAAACATCAAGAAATAATTCTGATTTTGACATTGAAAATTTAACTTTTTGCTATAATGATTTTTTTATGGTTTATGCTTAAATGATTGGTTAAACAATATCCATACTATTATATAAAAATCTAATGGTGTCTGTCTGTATGTGTGTTACTAATAGGTGCAAAAACTACTGAACTGACTGGGCTTAAATTTTACAAAAATATATCTATCATACCAAGGGCCATTATAGGACTATTCACATTTCGATACTGACCGTAGGCTTTGCCCCTTTGGCTTTAAAAGTTCTGAGATGAAGATTTTAAAAGTAAATATTGATTGGTCTCCATGGCTGCGATGAGAACACTAACAATGTTTGTTTACATTTGCTTTGACATTTAAATGTAAACAAGAAGAGCTGCTAAATTGCATATTTCACAATTTCAGACAGCTGATACAAAGAAATTAAATATAATATTATCCATAACTATGCGGTATAGGTTTATATTTAATCTAACGTTTTATCATGGATTATTTATTCTAAAACTATGTCAATGATTATAGAAAAAAAAGATTCTATAACCGTTGCTGTATCAACTCCGGCTCTGCTTTGGATTTTTAAAGCGTCTAAGTTATGAAAATAATGTTATTGATATGTTTTCATGAGAACAGTATGAAAATTACAATGTATAGATGTTTTGTTTGAATTTGGAGTCTACTTTAAATAAATTTGAACTGCTTAACATGTGTTAGATTAACTTAACATAGGTAACTTGCACATAACATTGTGTGTATATTTAGGTAAATTAAGTTATTGTCTTTTGCTAAACCTATGCTGAAATTAAACTAAAGAATATCATCATTAACTAAATTGTACGTTGATTTTTGTTTTCTAAAATGTGTTGTATATGTGTAACTATATTTAATTATCAAATGGTAATACAAAATACTCTTATTTTATCTTAACATAGCTTTCAGTTCACATTTACTTTATTTGAAAAAAATATCATTTGTGTTTTGCCACACCACTGATTAAATTAAACCAAGGGAAATATCATAAAACAAAGCAGTACACACACTGTGTCCTTTTGTTTCTATAATCAATTAAATATCTGTTACTAATGTTTACTTAATGGTTGTGTGAAAATGTAAAGGCAATTGGACGATGGAACTGATTAAAAGAACTGGTTTGTATATTAAGTTGTTTGTTGATATTTTTGTAGTAGAATCAGAGATGAATTAAACATAATGTATTTGCTATTACATTTTTTAGTCCTTGATGCTTTGATAATCATATTACAGTAGTTTTGTCTGATGTCTTAAATGCTAAATTATTTGTTTAAAATTGTTTAAAGTATGGATATAGTTTCTTTAATATTTTAAAAGACTGTATTGATAAGGCACAACAATATTTCTAAAGTTTATAACAGCTGACTTAGTTTTGCTAATGATTCATTGTGAGTGAAGAAACTGAAAATGGAACGATTTGTGATTTAATATGAAGAAGAGTGAAATTAAAAAACGAATGTTCATTTAAATTTAATAATTAGTATTTTTGCAACTTCAAAATTGAAATTTAAAATGTCAATAAAATAAAAAGATATGTAATAAAGGGAGATGAAGGTAAATCATGTATGTCAAAGTTTTATTTGAAGATTTGGTCAGTTTTTCTCATATCAGCCTACACAAGATTTAAAATTAATCAAAACCAAAATGGTGGTATCCACTACTTACCAAATTTAAAAGTCATAACTTAGAGGTTTCTATTAAGGCCATAAAAGTTGCATTTTCTTTCTAAAAGCGTTGGCGGATGCGTAACTATTATATGCAACAGATGTAAAGATTTTTCTATTTTGTGTCCCCTTCCCGTTGCAAAGCACGGGTACAACAGCTAGTATTTTTATAAAACATAATGATCTGTTATCCCAATTTCATCACAATGTATATTAAGGTAGTAAACAAAAGTAGGCCTATCCCTTTTTGTGGAATTTAATTTTAATAAGTAAGTTACAATAAGTACAATGTGTACAGACAGAGTTATTTACATAAGTTTTAATAGTTACAACTGTTTTCTGACTTCATCAATATTTACAATTCCTTGCTTTAACGAGAGCAAACTCATTGATTACTTCATCGAAATCAATTTTGGATGCTCTGTCATACTCGATTGATACAATTGCCAAATTTGTCAGTCGAGTTTCGCACATGCTCGATCTGAAGTAGTTTTTAATTATCTTGAGCTTGCTGAAACTACGCTCGCAAGATGCAACACTGACAGGCATCGTTAAAAATATCCGTAAGGATATTTCTACATTTGGATAAGCAGCTTTCACTCATATTTTGAAATGACCTTTAAGAGATCCAAGTGAGATGCCTTCTCCAAGTCCAAGACCTACATAGCCTAAGTAGAGTATAAGGCTTAGCGCTGAAAGTGGCACTGGGACTGGACTGAGTGGACTGGCGTGTGGAGGAGAACTGGCAAGTGACAGGCTTGCAAATCAAACAATAATACGCCCAGCGATGCCAACTTAGAATTATTAACTTTAAAACGAAAATAGTGTTATGCTTACCACCGGGCCTTGTGAGAACGTCCCTGCGCCCATTTTTCTGTACAACTACAATGGTTGACATTGTAATAATTGTTAATAAATCAATAAATTACATTAAAAAACATAAAATAATTTCATATAACCGTTATTATACCGTAACATAAGTGTAAAAACGTCAATTTCTATTTGTTTCATCTAGCTCATAAAAAAAGTAAAATTTGCCCCTCTTTCCCATTTTGCGTTCTTGCCCAACCGGCGCCCATTTTGCGCCCTTGTCTAACCTGCGCCCTTGGCAGGGGCCACCTTCGCCACAGCCTAGGTACGGCCCTGCATCTTGGTAATAACATAATTGAATTGCCGCGACGTCAATTGCGCCCGGAAGACGCTACGTATGACAGGCACCTGGCGTTGGCGGGACGGCATCAACGCGACGCATTTGCTGTCAATACTTGTACTTTGTACAAGACATGTACTTTTTCCGCTATCTCGACGGCATCTGCGCGACGGCAATAGCGCTCGTATGACATGGCCCTAAGGAGACAGGCACAAGGACACGCGTTACATGGTGCGAACTCAACTCTGTGATCATTTTGAAGCGCACGGGCTCTTGGTCCCCGCCCAGCATGGTTTTCGGAGGGGCAAATCTACTGTCTCGGCAGTGGGCTCCCTTCTGCAGGTCATCCTGAAGGCATTTGAGGAAAAAGGTTCAACTTCTGATGTCCTGTGTGTTTTGTCACGGGCTTTCGATTATGTTTCACATGACTTATTTATTGCTCAAGAAGCTTCCTAAGTATGGGGTTGGTCCCCGTGCGCTTGGAATGATCGAGTCCTATCTTAACAATAAGACTCAAGTAGTGTCATGGGCAGGTGTGAACTCAAAAGATCTGGCAGTTCAGCATGGGGTCCCACAGAGCTCGGTGCTTGGGCCTTTCTTATTTATAGTTACAGTACAATGAATGACCTTTATCACAATGTTTCTAATGATGTGTTGCTGTATGCGGACGATACAACTCTGTTCTCCAAGAACACTGACCCTATCACAGCTAGAAATTGTGTAAACACATTGGTTAATGCAGCATTTGAATGGTTTGCCGGAAATAGACTAGCCTTAAACAAAGATAAGACTCAGGAAATCATGTTTAGTCTTAACAAAAATGTAGCCAGCAGTGATCCTATAAAGCTTCTGGGTTTCACCCTGGATTCTGAGCTTGTGTGGAGTGACCACATTGACGCCCTCTGTGCTAAGCTCAATAGAGTGATTTTCCTTTTAAGAAACTTATCTCATGAATTGCCATTTCATTTCTTGAGGCTGGATTTAATTTTCTCATTCTTTCAGGCACATGTTGTCTATGGTACGCGGCTCTGCAGAGTATGACCCCATGGGGTCACTCCCCAGTCCCCACATGCTAAGAAAGTGTTGTTACTTCAGAAAAGAGCAATTCGAGTCATGTGTCAGACTCATTTTATAGAGCACCACAAACCTGTATTTAGCGAACATCGGATCATGGCTGTAGTCAATGTGTACATATATCAATGTTTGATAGCAATTAAAGATATGGAGGCTGATCTTGTATATAATAAGGACGTTCACTCTTACATGACCAGAAATCGCTCAAATGTACATATAAGTAGTAATAGATTAAGTAAATCACAAAACTGTTTTCCTGTTACAGGTATTAGGTTTTTCAATGCCCTCCCTGGTATTGTCCATTCC